CACACTGGACTTACTGGACTGTTTTGGGAATGTTATTTAGAAGTAAATAGCTGATGGTCACTGGACTAAAACTAGATGCTCTGTGTGTGTGTGTGTATGTGTGTATATATATATATATATATACAGTTGTGGTCAAAATTTCACACCGAGGACAACTGAGGGACTCATAAATATGACATTAAGGGTGTATTCACACCTGTCTTGTTTTGTTTGATTGAATCGAACTCCAGTTCGTTTCCGCTCTTGGTGTGGACCTTTTTGGCAGGTATGAATACAGCAATCGCACTCGGGTGCGGACCAAACAACCGAGACCCAGCTGAAGGGGTGGTCTTGGTCCGCTTCCAAATTAAATCTGGTACGATTCGTTTAAGGTGTGAATATGACCCGACCTCGATCCGACCCAACTGCAGAAATCACGCTCAGAAACAGACAGCTCGTGCATATAGTGCTGTTATTTGCGTTTCAATGGCTTAAATCACTTGTTTTTAAACCACAATGCTTAAAAACACACGCAAATGATGAGTTTGCACAGCTACGTGATGTGAGCGCGCTATAGGCTAAAGATTGCCGCAAAAATGACCATGACTATGTTGGGGAAAAATAGTAAGGAGATATTTGAATTATTTACTAATAAACTAGTGTTTTATGAGTCAGTGTCGCAATGAAGTTGATGATCCTGACTCGCCATCACATCATTGGACGCGCCTTTAGAAGGAAATGCATCTTTACGGATTACATAAAGCATTTGTTTTGGATTTGAATTACTTCGTTTTGCAGTCATTTAAAGCTTTCTATAGATATATTCATCATGTCTGTAAGGAAAATATTTGCTGAGTTTCGGAGCATTTTTGTGAAGCGCTCCTGTTCAAGACCGAGACAGCAAGCGCATTCTGTTTGTTTTATACATTTTACAAAAGCACAACGTTTTCTTGATATTGTGAGTGCACACAAATAAAAATAGACCCTTTACAGTTCCGAGCGATGTATTATCCTTACCTTTATGAGCAAAAATGACGGCATATTTAATTTGTTTCCACTGATGTCCTGACACAATTGGATATGCACCTAATAGCGCACATTTATCTAGGTTAAATGTTTAAACTAACATTGTGATATGCTTTAAGTATTTTATATCTATA